TGTTTGGAGAAGGTCCTCCGCTCGCTGCCGACGGTGGTGGTTGAGGAACGTTTGCTTCAATTCCGCGGCGCAGGACTCCCACGTAGTGAAGGACGCTTCGTGGTTTTCAAACCAATGCCTCGCAGTTCCTTCAAGCGCGAAGTAGAGATTGTGGAGGCATTGTTCAGTCGTCCATCCGTTGTGGCGGGCTACACGTTCGTAGTGTTGCAGCCAGTCTTCAACGTCCTCGTGGACGTCTCCGTGGAAAGGCGTTGGAGTCCTGGGTGCGACCGGCAGGTACACAACGGCAGAAGCGGCCGGGGTCTGCGCCTGGTTGGCCATCGTCGTCTTCGGGTTGGTCGTGGGTGGCAGAAATCCGTGTTCCGGGGGTAGACCTCGGATGCGGCGACTTGACCGGGTCTCGATCTGGTCTTCGTCGGGTCCTCCGGAGCTGGGGTTTGGACTTGTACTGCGGGAACTTGGAGGGCTGCGCCGTACGGACATGTGATTACCCAGCACCTCCACCAGAATGTCACGGGTGGTGACGAATAAACAAGAAATGAACAGAAATAAATAAACGTTTAATGTGGCGAACTTGTGCCAAAAATAAAGAAGGAAACAGAAGAAAGCAGAGCGTCGCGGGCGTCGAAGTCGGCGTGTCAGCAGAGTCGAACGCTGGGGCGAAAACTGACTCGACAAGATCGCGGGCGGCCTCTTATCTAGAGTGCGTCGCTATCTCGAAGATTCGGCGAAAGCGGCTCGAGCGTCGCGTGATCGGGCGAGAATGAACACGCACTTTCTAGAAAACAAAAGCAGGAATAAATAATAGAAGTTACGAGCGGTACATGAATAAACGAGAACTTTCTGGAGGTCCGTGACCGAGCGTTGCTTTCTCAGCCCTGGGCGCGGCAATATAACTAAACGCAATACCATAATGGTGCGCGAATATTACACCACTCTAATGTGGAAATGAACACAACAGTCCAAATCTAATAGGTCATGCGAAGCGAATGTCATGCTGGGATAGGTGCACACGATATTATGTTGTGGAAATGTTTCTTGAACATCCGCTCTAGCAAAATGATATAACTATATCTATGAATACTTCTTTATGGCCAGAAGGTTTAGTGTGTGTGGTAAACTTAACGAGCCCGCGAATATGTCAGAAGAGGCACAAACATTGACTGCGCAATAAGCCAGCTTAGCATCCTCGATCTGCGTGAAACTGCGCAATGGCGAGCAGTTTTACGTTTAGAAAGGGACTTCATTGGTTCTGTCCGAACCAATGAAGTGGCGGTTCAAATTTTGGTTAAACTATACACTTGGGGCAGCGCATGCTCAGTATCCTGCGGTGGTGTCCTATCCCAGTTTTAAAAGGATGCTTTCAGAGAAGAGGGTGAAGGAAGGATGACAATGTGAGCGGAAGACAAAGCACAAACCAGTTTTTGATCTTAGTAGTTTCGAGAGCTGCTGAGCATGCACTTTCAAGCAGTAAACGTATAATGTAACCAGAAAAGAAAAAAAAAAAACCTGTTCACCTTTGTGGTAGGGTCGCCTTGCTGCATGCCCATCCGGGAGGAACAACACGAAGCCGAGGTTTCCAAAACGAGAAATTACATTTATTGAAGTAACAGGAATGAATTGTTAGCATCAACGTAAAACATTGCCGGAGCGTTTGAACTGCACGCCTCCGTGGCCACGGTCCGTCTTCCCCTTTCTGTGGACGTGTGCCCTCTTTCATAGGCTTCTGTACCTGTCATATACGTGCGCTATTGCGCGCCTCGGCCGTTGTCCAGTTTGGGCATTCGGCAGCGGCCTCTGGCCGTGGTGGGAGACTTGCTCCCACACTCCCCCCCCCCCCCCCCTCTTAAGCGTCTGGCATGTCGATGCCAGTGTTGTCGTGGTCGTCCTTGGGAGGGGTCGTCGTCGAGGGTGTGGACGGCGGCGCTGTATCGGCGTTAGGGTGCGCTCCAGGTCGCGCTTGTCCTTCGGTGGCCGTTTCCGGAATCGCCGGCAGTTGCAGTTTTCGGTGCCTTCTTGCCCACTGGCCGCAGTTCTGTGGGGTGGGCCTCGCTGGTTGCCACCCTCGGTGACTGGTACCGCCACGTGTCCTGGGAACCTGGCGTCCAGATGCCCGGGATTGGTAGTGGCGTCGCCCGTGATCCATCTTCATGAATCGGAACGAGCAATTGCCCTGGGTTACTCTCATGTGTAATCCCTGGCTCTATGATGCATAAAAAAAAAGGATAAAGGATCTGGGGTGGGCACAATCGCGCAATATTTCCCCCTCTCCCCCTCAGAAAGTCGATCAGACCCGTGGAATAATATACGATCGAGGTACAGCGCTCGAAACCCCCCCCCCGCCCCCCCAAAAAAAAAAGGAAAAAAAAAAAAGAATCTTGTCCACCGCTTTACAACTTCTCTCAGCCGTCACCGACGTCGCAGGTTCTACCGCTTGTGTGGCGGCGAGGGGGGTTCCGGGAACGGGCCGTCGTCGGCATCGGTCTGATCCTGCGAAAAACCATCTTCCGGGATGTGGAATTGTTTAAGGTCGGTGACATGAGTTGGTCCTGTGGACTCACCACTGAAATGGTGAATTAGTGTGTATGTAAGCGGGGAAAGCTTTTTGCCTACACGAAATGCACCATCCCACCTGTTGGCCAGTGAGGCCATGAAGCCCTTCGCCGCGCCACTCAGGGGGTGAGTGCGCCTGAGCACCAAGTCTCCCACCTCGAACTGCAGGTCTCGGCGTCCCTGGTTGTACTGGTCGGATTGCTGCAGTCTGGCAACGTCAAGGTTCTCCCGGGCTTCCTTGAGGTTGATGGTGAAACGCTTTCGCAGGTCGTCTGCGAAATTTGTGTAGTTGCGGTCCTGTGCCCTGGGCTCTGTCGAACGGAGAGTGTTAGTGAGAGGGAAAGCAAGCTCTCTGCCAAAATTGAGCTGGGCAGGGGTGAGCCCGGTTGACCGGTTAACCGTGGTGCGAGTGGCGAAGGCCATTTCTGGGAGATTCGCATCCCAGTCTTTGTGGCGCTCCGTATCAGCAACAAGCATCATCTTAAGGTTTCGATACACCCTTTCGGTTATATTTGCCTGGGAATGATACGGCGAAGTCCGTTTATGTTCAACTCCCAGAACCGCGCATGCCTCGACGAACACTGCTCGTAAAATACGACGCATTATCCGAAATTAAGCTTGACGGGAAACCAAAACGGCGCGAAAACTTGAATTAGGCAGTCCCATATTTTCTGCGAATCCAACTTTCGTAAAGGGAACAGCTCCACCCATTGGGTGAAATGGTCTGTTACTACGAACAAGTACTGGTTTACGCGTGGGCTACGTGGAAATGGACCCATGACGTCACAGCAACAGATCTGCCAAGGGCTCTGGCTTGCGGTCGGTTGCATGAGACCTGGGGGTTGACCACCACATGGCTTCGCTTTCTGGCATGACGGGCAACTACGCGCATACCTCAGTACATCTTGCCGCATGCCGGGCCACGTCGCAATCTGGGACAACTTATCGTAAATCTTGCTCCCACTGCTGTGTCCGGCTAGGGAAGAGCAGTGCATGTATCGGATGAAAAGCTTACGTAGTTTGCAGGGTGTTACGGTCCGGAACGCCGAGCCATCCGGATCGTCGTCGGCCTGGGGAATGTAGCGCAGCAGGAGGCCGTCGTCGCTCATCAAGTAGGAGTCTAACTCCGCGTCACTTGGGCGGTCGACTGGACCGGACGCTGCCAGCCAGGCAGTCACTTGTTGGCACAACCCATCGTTGTGCTAGGCCTTGACAAGATCCTCTCTTGAGACCAATGTACCCCACCATGAGTCAGGTGGTCCCCGTGTTGTATTAACGACTGCGACCAGACCTGGGGCTTCCTGCACGTAGTTCTCAGTTAGGGGGGCGCGGGAAAGTGCATCAGCAATTTGGTTTCTAGCACCCGGCCTGTATACAATAGTGTAATCTTACTGTTGTAACGTAAGGGCCGAACGGGCGAGGTGACCAGCGGGGTTCTGAAGTCTTTTCAGCCATGAAAACGCTAAATGATCGCGCTGAATTTGGAAAGTTGCGCCATCCAAATACCTGTCAAATCGCTTTAACGCATACAATATGGCTAAACATTCTCTTTCGGCAGCACTGTAGTTACGCTGTGCGGAAATGAGGGTCGGACTTGCGAAAGCAACCGGCCGAAGTATACCGTCATGTTCCTGCAGTAAAACAACTCCGACGCCACAATCGCTTGCATCTGTCTGCAAAACGAATGGTTGGTTTAGGTCCGAAAGATGCAAACACGCGTTTTCTGTCACTGCCTTTGATAACGCCACGAATCCGCTTTGTTGCTGTTGGCTCCAACACCATTTGACGCCTTTTTGAAGAAGGTGATTAAGCGGCTGAGAAATCTCGGAGCGGTAAGGAATGAAATCCCTATAGAATGCAATCATTCCGAGATATCGCTGTAAACTTTTCGCGTCATGGGGGCACGGGTACTCAGTTAGTGCGCGCAGTTTTTTTTCGTTGGGACGGAGCGTACCACTATCGACAACAAATCCGAGGAGGTAAATTTTGGGCTGGGCCAGTTGAACTTTCCCCGGATTCATTGTTAGGCCCGCGTTCCGCATCCGCTCAAGCACGATAGTCAAGTGTTCAAGATGCTCCTCGAATGTACGCGAGAAAACAACAACGTCATCCATGTATGCCAGCGCGAATTCGTACTTTGCGTTTCCGAGCACAACGTCCATCAGGCGTTGAAAGCTCGCTCATAGAGTAATCTACACAAGGGAAAGAGTGGCCACTCGAGCCGTTTCGTGGCCGAGCGTTTAGTTTTCTAGTGTGCCAAAGAATGAAAATATTTCGTGAGGTTTGTTATAAATAAATACTCAAGTTTTAATTTTATTATACTTAAAATTGTTGCAAGTATCATAAAGGGTGAAATAGTTTTTGTTTACTACGTTAAGAATATCACGTGATGTACGGGCCAGTTCCGGTTCCTGCAGTTGCTCTGAGAAGGCGGCTGGAGTGGCTAAAGTGGGACGGACGGACGGACGCGTGCGTGCGTGGACGGCGTGACCGCATGGCGCCTGACATCTGTCAACGCGTTTTGTTTTGAGCACATGTGAGCACAACGTGGATATTGTCTGCGCCTAACAGGTTTCTTCAGAAGGTAGGACGTTTTCTCATTTCTTTGTTATTGCTTAGTCGCGAGCAAAACACAGCGTGCGCATACAAGGGCAAGAGAAAAAAGCGAACTGTATCGTGTTCGTTGGTTTTACCCGCTATTTGCATGCTCAGAGGTCCAACAGACGCTGCGAAATAAACCTCAGACAGCAGCCGGTTTTTCCCGTGTGTGTTATTATTGTTACATGGGCTGCGCTATTGTACTAAGAGCTACGAATATTTGTGTTTATATCTTATATTTTTTTCTTTCTCAGATGCCCTCCGGTTGCTACTACGGTAGCTACTGCTGTGTCGCATGGTGCGAAAACAATAGTAAAATGCACAAGAAACCCGGCACAAAATTTTTCCGAATCCCACGTGACGCAAGGTAGGGTGGCGTGAGCTCCTTCTTGTCAATAGTTCCTTGGAACCATTTGCATACTTGAGCATATAAAAAAATCCCAATAATTTATTTTTCTTCACAATATAATTAATTAGTAGAATGAGCTTTTAAATCAAGCGCTAAAGTTGACTGGATGCCTTAACTGTAATGTGGGGATTTGGGCTAAGCGATCTCAGGTCAGTTATACTAATTTTAGTACTTACTTACCACTTTGTCTTTGAAGATAAAAACTGACAAATTAATCTTATAAGACAAACTTGTTAAGGAAAAGAAGCAGCCCTTGATTTGTCTCATACATAGCTTGAATGTATCGTTTTTAATGTGGCTCTAAATTGGGGTTATAAATGTGGTGCTTCATGGTGGGGTGAATTTTTGTTTTTTTTTAATGTGGCTCTAAATTTGAGTTATAAAAGCGCTGCTTCATTGTGGGGAGAATATTGCTCTCTACTGATACTGTCTTTTCATAAAGAAATGTGAATGTGCACCTGCTGTTAATTAGCTATAAAATGACCTGTTGTTGGGCGAGTTGGTGAACGTTAGAAATCATGTTTTTTGTGCGAAAGGACAAACGCAAGGGTGGACAACAAGCACAAGCGCGCTTGTGCTTGTTGTACTCCCTTGTGTTCGTCCTCTCGCGCAAAAACCATGATTTCTTAGTTGAGCTACTTTTGCACTACTCTGGCGCAGGAGCCCAAATTTGTCTGTGTGCGTTGAGACGTCCAAAGCAAACCTGCCAAATAATAATATGTCCCCATCGCTTGCAAGCGGAGCCAAAATGTCGAAGAGAGGGTTGCAGATTGGCATCTAACATTTTGTTTGCAATATTTACATTTAACACATTGGAAAATAATATATATTCCAGGTCAAAGGCTTGGCTCGACTATGCCAAGAGGTACGATCTTCTTGGAAAGTCTGCTTCGCAACTCTATGCCACCTATCGTGTCTGCAGTGATCACTTCACTGCAAAAGATTTTATGGACCCAGGGCAAACAACCCTAGTGCGATCAGCTGTGCCTACTGTTCGTCCTCCCATAAACTGGGCATCTGCAATAGGTGATTGTAATAATGTGTTTCCCTCATATACACAAAGGTATAAGTAACTTCTCTATGTAGGCTAATAAGCCCATTCTTCCAGGTCCCACTCAGGCAACCAGCTCATCTGGCCCTTCACTCCAGTGCAGCTCCGTCGCAGCGAGCCGTGCTGTGCTTAGTAAGAGGTTATCTCGTCATGGTGCACTTCTGTGTCTAATAATGAAACTTTTCCAGACCAGGCAGAGCCCGACAGACTGCAGAATTCACCACTCCCATGCAGCTCCGCAGTAATGCACTGCAGTACTCGGTAATATAGAGTTATTTTAAAGCATCAGCCTGTGCCTAATATGCGCACTCTTCCAGGTCCCACTCAGGCAACCAGCTCGTCTGGCCCTTCACTCCAGTGCAGCTCCGTCGCAGCGAGCCGTGCTGTGCTTGGTAAGAGGTTATCTCGTCATGGTGCACTTCTGTGTCTAATAATGAAACCTTTCCAGACCAGGCAGAGCCCGACAGACTGCAGAATTTCCCACTCCCATGCAGCTCCGCAGTAATACACTCTGGAGTACTCGGTAATATAGTTATTTTAAAGCATCAGCCTGCGCCTAATATGCGCACTCTTGCAGACCCAAGTCAGGCAACCAGCTCTTCTGGTCTTTCCGCTGGCCACTGGTCCAGGTCAACACTGTAAGGGTCCCATTTTGCTTTCGCCACTTTTTGAAACATATTTGTGTGAACCCCTATAGCCAGTAGATAATACAATATATCCCAGAAGGATCAGTTTAAAGAATTCTAGGTCCCTTTATAAGCTATAGTCTCTGCTTCGTGTGTGTGGCATACCGATCTAACCATTTGTATTACTAATGACTGGGGAGGTGTGGAAAAATGGAACACACATATCAAGCGGAGGTTTCAAGAGAATTGTTCATGGCTGTTTTGCGTTTTTCATGCTATTTCAGCCTTTCAAACTTGCAAGGTTATCAAGGATTTTACGTGAAGACATTTAGTACAGAACATTTTACATGACTAGTAAAAGAATAACGTAATTGGTGGTCAGAAGTTTCACTGGCTTTGACAGTGCTTAAATGGTAAAGCACAAGAAGAAAATTCAGGCTTCACTCCACACCTTACCTGGTATGCTACTGGTTAGTGGTGCTTGTACTGGTTAAATCGTATCGCATTTATTGGAACTGTTTTTAATCTCACTGACTTGTTGCCATTTTTATAGCTGGTCCAAACCATCCTGCACCTGTTCGCCGCAAGCTCACGAAAAGCCCCGAGGACGTTATCAAGCGACTCCAGGCAAGAATTTCCAGCTACAGAAAGACGATAGCCAGACTGCGGAAACAGCAGCTGATGACGCCTCAGACAGCTTCTCAAGCTCTGGAAATAATTCGGCCTCATGTTTCTGAAGAGGTATTTCACCTCATATCATCGCATATAAAGAATAGGTCGAAGGGCAGGGGGAAGCGATTTCCACTGTGGCTGAAGAAATTTGCGCTCCATCTGAATTTTCATGGACCGCGGGCATACCGATTTATGTCTTCAGTGTTCACGCTACCATCTCGGCGTTCACTACGAAGGTGGCTCGCCAATGTCAAAATGACGCCAGGTATCATTCCAGGCATAATGTCATTGATTACGTCAAAAACAAAGTCATGGAATGAACGCGACCGCATTTGTACTTTAGTGTTTGACGAGATGATATTGAAAAAGAACTTGTCATACGATGTGGCGCAGGATGTTGTCCTCGGATTTGCAGATGATGGTGTTGAGCGAACTTCCAGTATTGCTGACAGAGCCCAGGTTTTCCTCCTCTCTGGAGTTTCTAGGAGGTGGGTGCAACCTGTAGCATACACTATTGGGCATACGTCAACACCATCCTTTGTAACTCGTAACCTGCTTATGTCATTGATTGAGCAGCTGAAGGACATTGGCATTACTATCAAAGCAGTGGTCTGTGACCAGGGTGCCTCCAACGTAAGTTTGGCGCATCAACTTGGAGTGTCTGTTGAGCAGCCATTCTTCAAAGTAAGAAATGAAAGTGTCTATTTTTTTTTTGATGCCCCGCACCTGATAAAGACCACCCGTAACAACCTGCAAGCCCACAAGCTTCACATCGGGAGTGAAACTGTAGACTGGAACTACATTGTGCAACTTTACCACTCCACACACGAGATGCGACTACGATTAGCCCCGAAACTGACAGACCGGCATATTTACCAGAAACCTTTCAGTAACATGAAGGTGAAACGTGCGACTCAGGTCCTCAGTTCATCAGTATGCGTTGCACTTTTGGCTCTTGTGTATGCCAGAACGCTCCCTGAGGCGGCCATGTCCACCGCACACTTTTGTGACCGCATAGACAAACTTTTTGACTGTCTTAACAGCTCGAGACCAAAAAAATCTGAACAAAAGTTACGCTATGCGATTAGACAGGGCGACACTGAAATCGTTGATTTCCTTTGCAACCAACCAAACTTCCATGGGTGGCAGCCTGGAAGTTTGAGGGTAGACGGCAGCCACAAACAGTCACTGGGTGGCAGGTTACTATCATGGCCGTCCTCGTGCTCTGGGAGGATATTTCTGAGAAATATAACTTCAGCTTTCTTTTGACACGGCGACTGCAGCAAGATGCCCTCGAAGATATTTTCGGGCAGATGAGGCAACAACACGGCTGCAACACCAATCCTAATGTGTATCAGTTTACTTGTGGACGGAGGCACATTGGGATTAGGAAGCTCCTAAAACTCTCGGAAAAGGAAAATGTTGAAGATGACAACACTAACCTCCTTCAGGAGATGTCCCCGTTTTCACTAGAGACAACCATAATCGCTGATGCCGTGGAATGTGCCCCCGTGGACGACTTCCCTCCATTGGACGATATTTCGGAACTTGCATCAAGTAAAGACTCTAACATAATAGACAACTCTGCTACCTATTATGTTGCAGGATTTCTAATCAAGCTGTTCCTGGAAAAAGAGTTCACAGGGTTGTCTCTGTTCTGGGTCACTGAGGGAAGGGTCTGACAACTTGAACTGGCCCCACCAATATTTTACGATGCTTAAAGCCTTTCATGTTCCAGGAAAGATGTTCGGCAACTTAACTGTGCCTTCGGAGGCTGCTTTCACTTACATTCAGAGCCTGGAATCTCACTTTATGTGTGTTATAGAAAGCGTAGCACACCTGCGCAATGTCTGTGATGTTTTGTGTCACCATCTGTCGCGTATTGGTTTTTTGCATTTATGCTCCGGGGAGTGTCAGCGGAGGTTTTTGAAGATGTTTTGCAGGGTGCGGTTGTGCTGGCGTGTGCGCTTTATTAATCGAAACTTGGAAAAAGTACGGTTTCATTCTTCTGTTGCTGGCGCTCAACTCGACAAGTTCAAAGCTTAGTATGGTATGGGGTTTCAGGCGTCTATGAAAGAACGATTTTTAATTGGGTTGTGCAGTTTGCATGCCTATTATATTTCTGGCTTTTTTGCAACTTTATAATGCAGGACATAGTGAGGACGTTTTGTAGCAAAGTGATCTTTGATGGGTGCGTGCGTGGAGTATATGCCGAACATGTCCGATATGTTAATGTTTTAATCAATGTGCCTTGTATATTGACCGAATGTTGTATGATTACTTTGGTAACAGATTTTTTGTATATTTTTATTACCTAACACTGTTAGGTGGTTTGACCTTAGCTGCCTGTTCTTGCTGTAATTTCCCACAGGCCCTGTACTAGCATTGCTATATTTTCTGCTGCACACACATTGTGTTGAATATGCATGGGAATGTTGAATATTCCCTGGGTCTGTATGAGGTCCTTTTTGTTAGCCTACGAGAAGTGTTAGGCTACTAAATAGGGTAGTGTATACTGACATTGAATCTGCTTTTTTGAATTCTGTGCAGTCTAGGCTGTGCTCTAATAGCGTAAACGACCTAATCTTCGCGTGGACCTAATTTTCGCAAATATCGCGATTTGATCAAGTTCAAAAGAAATTGGTAACGTGAATAAGTTGCCCTATGGACATGAATACATGCAATGTCACTCACGGTGGTGAAAGTTTGCGCCCGCGAAATATTCCCGAAACTGGCACATCGCTAAATGTCGAGCTCGCAACAATAAAGTTGCTTAGAGTACTTGTTCATGATAGCTATGGCCACATGTCCACATTACTGAAACTGCTCAGCATTGTGACAACCAATGATTAATTCAATCAAACCGTTTAGCATCACTGGAAAGCTCTGGTTTGGAGTGTTGGTAAATGTGGGACTCTTGTAACGTTTCTTCTTGATATGAATGTGTGTGCCCTTATGAAGAATACTTCGCGATTCTGAATTGTCCAAGTCTGTTTATGATTGACCTCAAAATGAATCATTCTGAAGCACTTTTTGTTGTTGCCTGAAAATACTTCGTAAACACGTAAACAAACGGAAGCAGTATGACAAGAATAGATATCTTAATATTTCACAGCAGTAAAGACAATAATTTTTGCTCTTTCGTGGTGTGAAGCCTCTAATCAGAAGCATTTCATTTGTGCCATCAAGTAAGAGAAGCCGCGCGACAGCACGCACGGCAAAAAAAGCTTCGGAAACGAAACCGAAACTGAAACCACTGGAACCGGAATCAAGAGTAAGCTTTTCTCATCGACCGTTTGGCGCGCTAGTTATTTACGGGACGCTGGGGTCTACGGCACCACTGTGGCAAACGAAAGTGGTGTTCTGCACGTCTACCGGATGCACCTCGATCTGAAGGAATCCGCGGCTGCAATCCAATGTGGTAAACACCGTCGCGTTGCCGAGCGCGTACATTATAAAGGAAATGCTGGGAAAAAGGTAGCTGTCCCGTACAGACACTTCGTTCAGCCGTCTGTAATCTACGCAGAGTCTGGCAGTTCCATCATTTTTCGGAGCGAGAACGACAGGAAATGCCCAAAGGCTCTTTGACTCACGTACTGCGCCGGTGTCCAGCATCTCCTGAAGGGCCACGTCCAGGAGTTCTTATTTGTACACGCTGATGGGGCGTGGATTGCACCTCCGAGGCGGTGCGTTACCGGTTTCAATCCGATGCAGCAGGATGTCTGTCTTTCCTGGTCGCTCCGTGAACATCGGAGAGAACGGCCGCAGGACGTCCTCCAGCT